TGAATATATTCATTGTTTCTTCTGCCACTGAAGAGAGTCTAAGGAAGCTGCTCTTTGTTTATCCCTGTGATTAATATGTGTGTGTGTGTCTGTGTGTGTGTGTCTGTGTATATATACATATGTTATCCATTCCCCTTGCATCCCTACCACCCTACAAAGAATGAAATCTCCTATATTTTAGATTTACTTGAAACCTCACGGTCCAGGATCGATTCCCATCTCAGCAACTCATCCTTCTCTAATAACCTTGTATGTCTGCCAGACTTGAGTCATGGCCTCTCCCAATCTGGCTCGTTCAAATGCCACTTAAACTGTGGATACGGCAGATTAAAAATTTTAATAGAGCACAAGATTATATGTTCTTTTAGAGTTTAAGGCATGGGTCCATGTCCACATTAGATAAAAATTAGTGTCTCTTTTATATTATATTCCTAAAGACAGACATTAATACCCCTTGAATTAGATGCCCAAAGACCTAAAGAAGTATCCAACACTCTTAAATGCCTCCAGTATTCTGGTATTATGGCCACAAGCTCTTTGGCCTCAGTATGAAGAATTATTTACTCAACAAATATTTCTTTATAGCCCCTCCATATCTCACACTCTAAGAGGTGCTGGAGGATACTTTATAAACATAGTCAACGTCCCTGATTAATGGAGCTTTAACTTTAGGGGAATGTATCAAAAGTCTGAGAAGTAAAAGACTAGGGGTAGGGGCTGACAGGTGGTGTGATGGCTAAAGGCACTGGATTCCCACAAAACCAACCATGGTTTGAGTCCCGGACCTGGCAGCTTGCTTTCTCCCTTTCCCTTTCTTCCTCTCTCTCTCTGGTCAAATTAAAAATAATAATAATAACAAAGAGTTTAAGTAAATAAAAAATTCTTAAAAAAATATAAACTAGGTATGATAGTTTATAGCTGCTGCTTCACTGCATGTCAAGGACATCCACCTTCCTATTCAGGGATTAAATTATCCTCACTTTCCTCATAACTCTTCCATATCTGCTTCCATATATAGATTTTGACACTTAAAATTTTAAATTTCTATATTTATTAGTACTCATTTAGTTGAAATTATGACAGAGATACTTGAGTAAGGAGTTATTTTTTTTGTTTTGATTTTAAAGAGAGGCTTTTACTGTAGAGCATGAGTGTTTGCCAAAGATACAGAAAGTAAGAAATCACCCCCTAAAGCAATGGCCATGCCGCAATCTGTTCTTCATTCTCTTGTCTCTCCATTCTCCTCTCGGGATCTTGGGCACGCATGCACACGTGCCCAGCATGAGTTTTATGGTGTGACCATGCCCCATGAGGCATGCTTTTTTACCTCTCTCTCTCTCTCTCTCTCTCTGGTAAGAGTATGCACCCTTGGAGGAAAAACATTTTTTTTTCATTTTAATCTCACTTGATTTCTTGTGAGTGAAAAGAAGCTTAAACCTGGAATTCTATATCTAGCCAAATCCTTAAGTAAGCAAAGGCATTTTCAGAGATAACACTGAGAATCTGTTGGTCTGGTTTTCAAGTTTTCTGTGAGTTTAGTTTAATATTAAATATTGAATTACATTTTAGCCCTACTTCAGATACATGATACACCAGATCCTATTCCTGGGCCTCCTGCCAATTGCCTGCTATGTATGAATATATTCATTGTTTCTTCTGCCACTGAAGAGAGTCTAAGGAAGCTGCTCTTTGTTTATCCCTGTGATTAATATGTGTGTGTGTGTCTGTGTGTGTGTGTCTGTGTATATATACATATGTTATCCATTCCCCTTGCATCCCTACCACCCTACAAAGAATGAAATCTCCTATATTTTAGATTTACTTGAAACCTCACGGTCCAGGATCGATTCCCATCTCAGCAACTCATCCTTCTCTAATAACCTTGTATGTCTGCCAGACTTGAGTCATGGCCTCTCCCAATCTGGCTCATTCAAATGCCACTTAAACTGTGGATACGGCAGATTAAAAATTTTAATAGAGCACAAGATTATATGTTCTTTTAGAGTTTAAGGCTACAGTGAGCCACTAATAAATGAGAAGAAGTAAAACAGTCATCTAGCCTCAGATTTGAATCGTAGCCCTGCGATCTACCAGCTGTGTGACCCATGGCAAATTTTACTCAATGAGCCTAAACCTATTTTTATAGGGTAGGGAGAATACCTCCCAGCCCCTCCCACCAAGGTTATTGTTCAAAACAAATGACATAATGTACTTAAGGGAACAAGCAATAGTAGGCTGTCAATAAGTATTCCTCCCTCTTAATAGCCGTGTAAGTTCTGAAGGCAGAGAAAGATTAATTTATGCATACCTAACCTTTAAAAATAATTTGAAAATGAAAGTAAAAGTGTATGTTTCCAATCCATGAATAAAGAAAAGATAAAAGGAGGTGGATTGCACAAGGTGATATGTTAATTTACATATATTGCCATCGATGCATTGCTATTTAAAATCAAATTATTGGGCTTGCTGCATGCACAGTGATAATGCACTGTTCAAGAGAAATGGATCCCACATGCAACTGTGGTTCGAATCCCTAGCACATTCAGTGTGAAATTTCAGGCACACATGTAAGTGGCCAGGATCCTGCAGGCTGATGGACTGGAGGAAGGGGATTACAGTGTGACCAGATCCTGTGGAGTATGCTCATTTTCTTTCTCTGTCTCTATAGCTCATGTGCAGGCATGAGTAAAGAAAAAAATTAAAATCAAATTGTCAAATATTGAATGTGTAAAATATGTAGAGCCATTCCAATGTATTTATACCCTGTAGTTACATAATGTATTGTATAACTAAAGTATATAACAAGAAAACTTGTTTGCTAACTTACAGTGAGAAATAGTGTCGGTCTGATGAAGTGGATCATATTTTTCAGGTTGACTAGCACGTTCTTTCCTCATCAACAAATCTACTGGGAAAATCAAAGTATCAGACTATACCTTAGTGAGCATGAAAGCAGAGCCATAGATATTAGTTACGTGGTTCCAATATACCTGATATATCTTCCTTCACAATGAAGGATTCTGGAGGTGACCTGACCCCTCACCTTTTCCCCAGCATGATGTTTGTTTCTTATTTCTGGTGTTAGACTTTGGCACTCTGCCCATTTTTGTTTTATGGCTGGCAGGTCACCCTTCTGGCTGAACTGTTCTTTCTTCCATTTTGTTTTGCCTTGAAGCAAGGTTACTGTATCATCTTATTGGTATGAGAATCACTTTTAAGATGACTGTGGTGTAATCAGGATGGGTATCTTCTGTTAGGAAAGAACTGTGTAAACACAAAAAATGAGCTCCTGTTCAGCATCCTTATCCACAGAGGTGTGGTACTTTCATTTGGTTAGAGAGTCATTTCTGACCTTAAGCTGGTCAATGGCATGGAGAATACAAAGAGCATGAGACAAGAATAAGAGAAAGGTACTAAGGCTTTCATATGTTGGATTATTTTGAAAAAACCTTTCTACTTATATGACTAATTTTTAAATTGCTTGATACTTATGAAACATATCTATAAGTAATGTCCATTGATTATAAATTTTCATATGCTATATATGGTATGTTGTAGATGAAAAAGAGGGGAAAAAAAAGTGAAGAAAAAGTTGTCATACCTATGTACTAAGACATGAAGCAGCTAAATAATAGAACTTGTTTGTAAATATTCCACTTTATAAAATATTACTACTTTGCTTCCCAACATAGTTTACCAATTTACACTCCCACACACAATGTCTGAGCGTTCCTATGTTCCTCCATTGTTTCTCTCATTTTATCTCCAGTACTAGCAAATGTTTAACATATGATAAGGGTAGAAGTGACTTTTGATGAATGAATGAGTGAGTGACAACCAGGATTTGTTTACCACTGGGACAGCTAAAATACAAGTCCAGCATCAGCTCCTACTAGAGGGATATAAGGGCAGACCCAGCATTACGCAAGGATCTGTTCAGAGATGCAAAGTAGTGCAAACCACATAGAGGTTTTTGCCTTAGGGTGCACTAGCTAGCTAGAGAGACAGGGAGAGGAAAAGTGAGAAATTGCCCCCTGGTGGGGATGATCACACCGCAGTCCCTTCTCCTCCATTCTCCTCTCAGGATTTTGGGCACACAGGCGCATGGACCCTACATGAGTTTTGTTTTGTTTTGTTTTGTTTTTGGGGGGAGAGATTTTCACTGTAGGGCGCGTGCGCTTGCCAGACAGACAGAGAGAGACATAGAGACAGAAAGCGAGAAATCACCCCCCAGGGGGGATGGTCACGTCGCAATCCCTTCTCCTCCATTCTCCTCTCGGGATCTTGGGCACCGGCGTGAGTTTTAAGCCACCGGGTCCAGGACACGAACCGTGGTCGACTATGTGGGAGTCCAGCAACCCAGCCATTACACTAACTGCTGGTTTCCGACCCTACATGAGTTTTAAGCACTGGGTCCAGAACTCAAACTGTGGTTGACTACATGGCAGTTCAAGCAACGTAACCATTAGCCATCTGCTGGTCCCTCCCGGAGAAGTATTCGTGAATTCAGGAGCCTAACACTATGGTTTTGTGTCTTAGCACGATCTAACTGATGTACATATCCTAAAAAGTTTAAATACAAGCATGTGTGTATATTCATCCACCTCTCTGCTGAGAGAGAATAACGTATGTTCTTCTTCAGACATTCTGCATACCTAGAGGAGAGAGAGGAGGAGAAAACAACCCAATGATATCTTTAAATGATTCTTTTCTAAATTTCTTCAGAATCTGGAGGGTTTTTTAACTAACTAACTAAAAAAAAAAAAAAAAAAATAAAAAAAAAAAAAAAAAAAAAAAAACTAATTGATACATACTTGCCTTTTCTGTTTTTCTTTTACATCTCAAATTTTTCTCTGTCTCTCCTGCAAGCACACATGTTCTACAGCAAAAATCTCTTTAAAAAAAAAAAAAAAAAGAGTGGTGGAAACACTGAAGAAAGAAGAAACAGGATATCTTTAGGGTATTAGTTATCACCATAGGCTCTTTGTGCCCTTACACAGGCTTGGCTTGTGGCCCTAGAAGGGCCACCCACTTTGGCAAACCATAGACTGCTGACCTTGGTGGGGGCAGGGTGGTTTGCTGCCTCAGGGCACAGGCACATGAGGAAATTACAACAGGTAAGGATAAATGAGGCCAAGGCCAGCCAAGACATGGGCGAGCCAGACAAGCATCCAGGATATGTTCAGGCTACTGAAAAGGGAGCAGGGTAATTGGGAATTTTTAAAATAGATGGCAAGATGTCCTTTCCTCCTCTCCAGTCAGGCATAGCTAGAAGCCAGGCAAGTAGTTAGTAATTCTTTCCAAAGAAAAAAGAAATAAGCAACCCAAACCTTTATAATTTTAAGTCAGTCTCTTTCTCACACGCACACTCTCTCTCTCCCTCCTTGTCTTTCTTTCTCTTGGGCTGGCCGGTAGCATGGTGGATATCACATGGCCAACTGTCCAGTTTAAGTTGCAAACCAGCGCTTGAAAAACATGCCAGGCCTGGGACCAGCAGTTAGTGTAATGGCTATGTCGCTGGACTCCCACGTGGTCGACTGCGGTTCGCGTCCCAGACCCGGTGGCTTAAAACTCACGCCGGGCACGTGTGCGTGCGTGCCCAAGATCCCGAGAGGAGAATGGAGGAGAAGGGATTGCGGCATGGCCATCCCCCCTGGGGGGTGATTTCTCGCTTTCTATCTCTCTGTCTCTCTCTGTCTGCCTGGCGAGCGCACGCGCCCTATAGCAAAAACCTCTCAAAAAAAAAAAAAAAAAAAATGCCAGGCCTGTGTGTGCTAGAATGACCAAAATCCTGAAAGGAGGAAGACATGAGAGGAGAAGAGATCGCAGTGTGACTGTTCCACACAAGGGGTATTTTCTCACTTTCTCTTTCTTCCCGTCTCTCTCCTCAGTGACTGCATATGCCTCCTGGCAAATTAAAAATAGATAAATAAATAAAGGCTCTCAAATTCTATCCTCTGTCCATTTCTTTTCTAAATTGTACCCTTACCTGAATCTTAAAATAATTTTAAGATATCTCTTTTATTGCCCGTGGAAAGGCACATGCATTAATAATGTACGCCTTGCCCTCTTTGTGAAAAGCTGTATAGCAATGTTTCTAATGGAATAATTGCCAAAAGGTCCTGACACATCCACTCGTGTATGTACAAGCTCTCATTAGGCATGACAAATGCTGAATGATATGTAGAAAACAACTTTGATGAAAATCCTGACTTACGGCATAAGCCTTCACAGAAAAATTGTGCGATGTGTCACATATGCAACTTGGGATTGTGCCTTACGAAGAGTACTGTCGGTACACACATCTTGCTATTTCTCCTAAAACGTGATTGGAAAATAATTTCATTTATATCACACAACTGAGACTTGCAGCCAGAGAAGTATGTTAAAATAAATTCTGCACCAGAAATATTTGCTGAAAGGATAAATCATTTTTCTTAGGTCAGTCTAATGATCTTAAAGCTTTCCTTTCACATTGCAAAAGGACATATGTTACAAGGTGCAGGGGAATATCTACTTTTAATAATGTTTTAAAATGCTTGTATTGTTCCTAGAAGGCCCCTGAGAAAGAGAAAGAGAAAGAGAAAGAGAAAGGAAAGAAAGAAAGCTTCTCCCATTGGGGGCTGGTCATGCAGCAATTCTGTCTTTCATCTGTCCACCTCATCAGGATTTGGGGCATGGATGCACACACACCTGGCATATTTTTCAAGCCACCATGGCCAGAATTCAAAATGCAGTCGGCCATGTGGATCCCACTCCCTCAGCATAGTGCTTAACTGCTGCTGTAGCGCCAACTAAGGGAATGTTTACTTTTCATAAAGCCTGTGTACACCCTTCCTGGAAACATTTGAAGAGGAATCTTTCTATAACTATCTTTAACACTGTACTGAGGGAAATAAATGTGTATACTTCAACTAGAATATGATCAATGGACAAAGATAGAAAAAACGTAATCAGTAAGATCTGAAATATATTTCTTTTTGGCCTCCTTTCTTAAAATCAAGTAAAAATTTGGGACCAGCAGGTGGCATGGTGGCTAAGGCGCTGGACACTCCCACATGGCTGACCACGGTTCAAGTCCTGGATCTGTGGCTTGCTTTCTCACTTTCTCTCTCTCTCTCGCCGCGTGCTTCCTCACTTTCCCCTGTCTCTCTCTGTTCAAATAAAAAATAGTAACAAATGGAATTAAATAAATAAATTTTTTTTTGAAAAATCAAGTAAAAATTTTACCTTGATTTGACCCCTCAATTCAATAAGTATTTATATTTTCTCTATTGAAAAATTGCGTGTGTGTAAAACTTTATTTTATAGAGCATAATGGAAAATGCAAAGAAAAAATAAACAGATGTCTTTCTTCATGAACTAACACTTGAAAGTTTGAGTTTTTATAAATTTTACACACCAGAATGACAAACGTTTCTATATTGATAACCTTCATCTAAGAAAAAGCAAATGCCTGACTTATTCCTTTTGAATATGACAAATAATGCATCATTCTCCATTTAAGCTATCCTTAGTTTTCAACAATGAAATCTGCCTAATTGGACTACTTTGGGAGAGTTCAGAAATCAAATATTATTGGGGAACCAGCAGTTAGCGTAATGGCTATGTCGCTGGATTCCCACGTAGTCGACCGTGGTTCGTGTCCTGGACCCGGTGGCTTAAAACTCACGCCGGGCGCGTGTGCGTGCGTGCCCAAGATCCCGAGAGGAGAATGGAGGAGAAGGGATTGCGGCGTGACCATCCCCCCTGGGGGGTGATTTCTCGCTTTCTGTCTCTATGTCTCTCTCTGTCTGTCTGGCGAGCACACGCGCCCTACAGTGAAAATCTCTCCAAAAAAAAAAAAAAAAAAGAAATCAAATATTATTTAAGAATTTGAGGCAAACAAAAACAAACAAAAAAAGAATTTGTTGAGTAGAATAAACAAGTTGATATTTTTCACGTTTGCTTTTTTTAATAACATTTTTAAAGAATTATTTTTTACTTTAACTTTATTTACTTATTTCATTTTATTTTAATTTGACCAGAGAGGGACAAGTGAGAGGGAGAGAGAGAGAGAAAGTGAGAAAGCAAGCCACCGGGTCTGGGACTTGAACCGTGGTTAGCCATGTGGGAGTCCAGCACCTTTAACTGCTACATCACCTGCCAGGCCCCTCTTTTGCTTTTCTTAGATGTGTTTTTTCATCCCTGTGCGTCTTCAATACATTTCTAAATGCTCACCTAGAGGGGATATTATCCATACATTTCCCCTACTTCTACCAACGCCATTAAGGAGGAAAAGTTTAGTAGACGAGCCCCTTAAATCTTGGAGCTCATAGCTAGTCTTTTTTTTTTTTTTTTTTTTTTTTTTTGAGAGAGATTTTCACTGTAGGGTGCGTGCGCTCGCCAGACAGACAGAGAGAGACATAGAGACAGAAAGCGAGAAATCACCCCCCAGGGGGGATGGTCACGCCGCAATCCCTTCTCCTCCATTCTCCTCTCGGGATCTTGGGCACGCACGCACACGCGCCCGGCGTGAGTTTTAAGCCACCGGGTCCGGGACGTGTACCGCGGTTGACTACGTGGGAGTCCAGCGACATAGCCATTACGCTAACTGCTGGTTCCCCTCATAGCTAGTCTTTAGTTTGTCATCTCTGATACCAAGGTCCTCATCCTGGAAGCCACATATATGTGAAGCCACATATATGTTTATATATGTTTTGACTGCTTAATAGAAGATTGAGAGAAAATCCGTAAGGGGTAGTTTTGAGGATTTCAATTCTAGGATTACTGCTCTCCAATCTCTCCCTTGTTTTCTACGCAATGTCAAAATCAAATGCTTTTTATCTAGATGATTCTTCTGATATCCTAAATTTGGGCAGAAGTTCCTGCTAATTCAAATCTGATGACAGAAACCATAATGGCCCAGCCCTATCGCAACTCAAAAGGAGAAAGATGGTCGGGTCAGGAAAGAATACAGCATCCTACCCTCAGATGCACGTTGCAGGAAGGCAGGGGTGGAGCATGAAGAAAGTGCCTCACCCATGTAAACAAAGCCCATTAGTGTGCACTACTCAGCACCAGAGCCTCTGTAGCCAAGATGTGGGATGACGCCAGAGTTTATAACTACCTCAACTGCAGCATGTTGAAAAGATTATTTCATTCAACATACGTTAGGGGTTAGCATTATGAGATCATTTAGTCTTGAATTTTTACTTTGGCCTTTGTCTCTTTTAAATTATTGTTATTTATTTTATGCAAGAGAGAGGTATTTTTGACAGGATCTTGCCATCGTCATCCTCTATCTCGGCCTCCCATTTAGCTCAGATTGCAAGAGCATCTTTCCAATCCTGGCCTGTCTAAGTTGGCCTAGGAACTGACTCTGGGCCTCCCATCTGGTAGCCGCATGCCACTGGTTATACCACCTTAGCTAAGCCTAAATTATTATTTTAATATCATTCATACCTGAAAAATCATCAAATCCCCAATTAACAAACTAATATAGCCGTTGAGAAAAAAGATTTTCACATCATTTCAGTTGTTCCTTTATATTAAACAGAGTTGACCTTTTTTTCCCCTTAAAATTGTACATACTAGGACCAGTGGTTGGCATAATGGCTATGTTGCTGGACTCCCATGTAGTCGACCTAAGGTCAAGTCCTGGACCCGGTACCTTAAACTCATGCTGGGCGCGTGTGCGTGCATGCCCAGGGTCCCCAGAGGAGAATGGAGGAGAAGGCATTGCGGCATGGCCATTTCCCTAGGGGGCAATTTCTCGCTTTCTATTTTTCTGTCTCTCTCTGTCTTTCTGGTGAGTACACACTCCCTATAGCATAAACCTCTCTAGAAAAAGAAAAAAAAAATTGTACATACTAGGGCAAGCAGGTAGCATGGCAGTTAAGGTGTTGTACTCCCATGTGGCTGATTGTGGTTCAAGTTCCAGACCTGGCAGCTTACTTTCTCACTTTCCCTCTCTCTGATCAAATTAAAATAATAATAATAATAAATGAAGTTAAATATTTTTTCAAATTGAATATACTGGGGCCACCAGGTGGCATGGTGGTTAAGGTGCTAGACTCTCGTATGGCCAACCATTGGTTCGAGTCCCACACCTGAAAATCATACTTGGCACATGAGTGTGCATGCCAGAAGTCCCAAGAAGAGAATGAAGGAGAGTGGATTGCAGTGTGGCCATTTCCCCTGGGGGGTGATTTCTCACTTTCCATC